GGAACCCAAGGTCAGACAGGGTAGAACGCAGGGTGTCGTGCCACTCACGAGGAGCCTGACGAAGACCGTAAACCGGTCGCCTCAGCCTCCACTGGGTCCCAGGAGGGAAAGAGCCAGTGAAGGCAGAGGGACGACGCAACCAGACCTCCTCGTGAAGACTGCCCTGAAGGAAAAGGAGAGAGCAGTAGAGAAGTCGAGAGAGTGTAACTCGTAGTCTCTCTGTGCTGCTACGTGTAGTAACACCCGAAGAGTGGTCATCTTCGGGGTGGGCGCGAAGGTCTGAAAGAAGTCAACTCCCTCGCGCTGACTGAAACCTCTAGCCACGTAGCGCGCCTTGAAGACCGGAGGAGATCCCGGTGGCCGCTTCACCCTGTAGATCCACATGCCGTCGACTACGTTCGCCCCCGGAGGGGGAACCTCATCGACGTAGGTGCCTGTGGATCTGTAGGAGGCCATCTCTGCGTCCATGGCAGCTCTCCACTGAGAGGCCCAAGGCCCTGACACTGCCTCAGCGTAAGTGCGAGGAGTCGGAATGTCAAGGGCGTCGGGGTCACCCTCAGGGGCGAGGAGCATGGCACAGAGATGAGGGGAAGCGGCCGCCAGGAACTCTAGCTCAAACTGCCTGTCCTCTAGGGCGTCACAGCCAAGGGCAGACACACCCCCGACGGCCAGAGGACTGGAAGGAGGAGCAGCCACAAGAGCGGTGGCGAAGTCAAGGCGGCGGGTAGAGGCAAAGTCAGTGACTGCGGCAGTAAGAGCGGACACAGAGGACACAGAGGCACGAGGGTGGGTAACAAGAGAGGCGAGAACACGAGAGAGAACAGGACGGTACGTGCGGTAGTAGTCAGTGACAGGAGAAGGAAGCGACACAGTGAGGGCCGACTCAGGAGGAGACGGAAGCACAGACGGAGACGGACGAGGTGGACGAGAACAAAGGAAGGCTGTACGAAGGTCAGTGAAGGGAACAGGAGACGAGGGACGAGCACGAGGGGAGCGACGAGAGGCCCAAGTCTGAGAAGGAGGAGGAGACAACGAAGACTGAGAACGAGGGAAAACAGCGGGAGAGGGGTCAGGAGGAGGAAGCGGAGGACCAGAGACGGGAGGAGAGGGGGAGGAGGAAGGAGAGGGAGACGGGAGACCAAGGGTCCGAAGACCCGAGACAGGAGGAGGAGACGGCAGCAGCTGCTGCTGCTGCTGCTGCGGCTGCTGCGGCTGCTGCTGCTCCAGCGGCTGCTGCCCCTGCTGCTGCTCCTGCTGCTGCTCCTGCTGCTGTCGCTCCTGCTCCTCGAGCCGCTGCAACTCTCTCTCCTCTCTCTCCAACTCCAGCTGCTCCTCACGAGCACGGCGAACACGAGCCTGGAACCTGGTCGGGTAGGGGTGGGGGGAAGGAGTAGTGTCCGGGGCAGCGGCAGCCCCAGAGTCGACCTCCGAAGCACCAAGCACACCACCCCCAGAGGCAGCACCAACACCAGCTCCAGACCCAGGCTCTCCAGAAACCGAAGGGACACCCTCACCCCCAGACGCAGCACCCCCAGACTCCGCACCAGCACCCCCAGACTCCGCACGACCAGTACCAGCCCCCGGAAGACAAGAGTCCTCTGCAACCCGCGGCTCAGCTCCAACTCCAGCACCCCCAGAACCAGAGACCTGTACAGGGACAGTCGCAGGACCAACCTCCCGAGAGGGAGCACCTGCAGGAGGCGGCGAGGAAGACTGTGGGGAGGGAGGCTGTACAGGGGGGGCTACCGAAGGGGGAGGGCTAGCCTGAGACACACCAGACGGGGCTGGACCAGGGGGGGGAGGCTGTACCGGGGGAGCAGGCGGGGGAGCGGCGGTCAGGAAGAGAGGGGGGGGAGGGACCGGGAGACCTCGACTGGGGTACCTGACGTAGTAGGGGGTGGACTCCTCGAAACGGACGTCACGGGAGTCAAAGAACCGGTGAGAGGGAGGGTGGTAAAAGGTGAAGTCAGAGGAGTCCTCAGGGAAACCAAGGAAGACACAAGGAACGGCGCGAGGCGAGAGCTTGTCCGCGGAGGTGTCGCGGACAAGAGCCAAGCACCCCCAGACACGAAACCTCGACGCGACACCAGGGGACCCTGTCCAAAGACTGGTCGGTGAAGCCTCCGGCCGAGAGACGCGTGGCCAGAGGTTCAGCTGGTGCGCGGCGTACCTGACCGCGTATGTCCACAGGAAATGGGGGGCACGGGCGTGAGTCAAGGAGGTGCGGGCAATCTCCATGACCAGGCCTATGCGACGCTCAGCAACCCCATTCTGCTGTGGGGACTCCGGAAGCGTCCAGGACTGACGAATGCCCTGTTCGCGACAGAATCCAGCGAGAATGCCGGAGCGAAACTCGCCCCCGCGGTCGGAGTGGAGACAGCTGACACGACGACCACGAGTGTCCTGGGTGGTAAGCAACCACCTGATCAGCGTAGAAGTCACCTCAGACTTCCTCGCCAGGGGGAACACTGTGGTGTAGCGGGAGTAGTCGTCAACGACCACCAAAAAGAAACGCTCACGCTCAGGGCCAGGGCGAGGAGAGGGGCCCCAGACGTCCAAGTGCAGCGTCTCAAAAGGCTCGGTGGCCGGACGAAGGGAGGAGGAGTGAGGGGTGGCGCGCAGCCTACCCTCGACGCAAGGACCGCACGGTGGTGCAAGGGACGGCAGCAGCGACGGCAAGACACGCGGGAGACCTAAGACAAGACGCTGACGAGACATAGCGCGAAGACGAGGAGGAGAAGGGTGCCCCAACCGGTGGTGCCACAAAACGGTGGGGTGGGCAAGCGACCGACAGGAGCACGACGCAGCGACCGGACTAGACGGAGGAACCTGACAAGACACAGCTACCTGGGGGGACGGAGCAACCTGGTGAGACGCGAGGACTCGAACGGGGGGCAAAACAGGGGCCGGGGGCAGGAGGGGCGGCTGTGGCTGCGGCTGCGGCTGCTGCTGCTGCTGCTGCTGCTGCTGCAGTCGCTGCTGAGCGCGCGGGCCAGTGTGAAGAGTGTAGAGACCGGAGCCCGGCTCAGCAGCAAAAGTGGCGAGGGGCTGGTAAGAGTCTCCGTCAACACACACCGCAGTCTCTCCAGAAGGCTCAAACCACACACCCACGTGCTGACTCACGAGGGGTCGCACGCCCACCAAGTTCCGGGAGAACGAGGGGACGTGAAACCCAGTGAGAGACCCAGAAGGAGCAGCCGGACACGGCAAGGTGGTAGTGTGACGCGCGGTGACTGGTCCCGAAGTGGGATCAGCCAGCGCCACAGAAACAGGCGCAGGAAGAGGCGTAAGTGTCGTGCTGTCACGAAAGAAGCAGTGAGAGGCTCCAGAGTCCAGCGTGAACGACAGCGAACCGTCCTCTGAGGTAGCCGCTGGACTAGAGTCTACACAAGAACCTACACTAGCAACAGGCAACTGAGCAAGGCTAGCACCTAAGCTAACAACACCAGAGTAAACAGAGTCAGAAACACTAGAGTCAACAACAGCATACATAGCATGGGGATTACCAATCAGATCAACTAACTGCTCAGCAGACATGCCCCACAGAGCGGAGCCGTAACGCTGAACAAGAGGCAGCCAGTCAGGGGCAGGAGCACCAACCCCGTAGACCAAACGAACCGTGTCAGTGAGCTGAGCAAAGCACTGACCAGGGGGGTGAAACCGGCCACAAGGGTGGCCACGACGAGTGCCTGTCAGAACCTGGTAGGTGCAGGGAGTGTAAACAGCACCGCGCTGGGTCTGACGCAGCCCCGACCCTGGAGCCAGCTGCTGCCGCTGCTGCTGCTGAGGCTGCTGGGAGGAGAGGGGCTGCTGCTGCTGCAGAAGCTGCTGCTGACGCTGAGCCTGGTACCACGCCGCTGCTCCACCAACCGGGGCAGGAAGTACAGGAGGCGACTGACGAACTCGGGCGTCGCCACCACCAGCAGGCGCAGTGGAGTCACCAGTCACTGCACGAGGCGCCTCTCCAGGCCCTGAACCTCCACCGCCGCCAGGCGCAACGCCACCTCCACTACCTCCGCCTCCACCTCCACTACCACCACCAGAACCGCCTTTCTTGCCACTCCTACCGCGGGACCGCGACGCAGTCGTAACAGCAGCTGCAGTCGCGTCAGTAGCGGCAGTGGCAAGTGAGGCAGTAAAGGTGGGTAACTGCGGGACTGTGCACCCGTGGAAGAGTGGGGGGGGCACAGCACCAGAGGCAGCGGCTACCGAGCGAAGGTTGCTCTCGACGTCCTTGAGTGCAGACTCAAGGACCTCGACGGTGAGCTCACTAGGGTGCTTCAGCAGAAGCGCGTCGCGAACGGAGGCAAGGCGGTCAGGGAGGCTAGTGGCGATGAAATAGATAGTAATCGCCATAGGGGGAGGAAGCAGTGCAAGCTGTGCCTCAGTGCAAGCAGCGCGGTAACTAGCGTCGAGCGAGCGGAGGTGAGCGATCAAGTCAGCAGAGCGCTCAAAAGACGCTAGGTCAGGAAACAGGAACGGGAGGAACAGGCGGCCAAGAGAGACAGCAGCGGGAGTAGAGTAGCGGGCCTTAATCGCAGTGAGGTACGCAGCAGCGGTGCGAACCTGAGTGAAGTGAACCTCCTCAGACTCAGGGAGGAGGCTGCTGAGCGCGATGCAGGCCGCAGCGTCACGTGACGTCCAAGCCGTCTGGTCAGCTCACTGAGTAGCAAAGCGGGCTCTAGCGGCGTCGTCAGGGGCAGGTCCTAAAGGCGTAGGGTCGGGGGGCGCAGGTAGGGCACCAGTAGCGTGCGCCCAGAGGGTCTCGCCTGCCTGGACCTGACTCTCTAACAGACGGCGAGCACGAAGAAGCCAGACGGAAAAATCAATAGGTCTACCGTCAGCGTCGAAACGAAGGACGCGCTGAGTCGCCATAGTGAAAACGAACGCGAACGGAGAGGGAGGGGACAGCAGTAGGTGAGAGGCAAATTAGGGTTCGGCGGTACTCTGGGACAGGGGAGGAGCGGACGCCACAGCGGGCGTGACAGCGGGAGGTAACAGGGGACTAAGCAGCGGGGAACGGGAACGGGCGCAGCGGCGGGCGATGGCAGCGCGCTCGGCAGCAGGGGCCAGCAGCGCGCGCAGCGGGCGACGGCAGGGGGCGCAGCGGCGACGCGCGCAGCGGCGGGCGACGACGGCGGGGCCGCGGCGAGGCGCGCAGGGGGCGGGCGACGGCGGCAGGCGCGGCGGCGACGAGCGCGGTCGCGAGCGACAGTGGCGGGCGCTGCGGGACGGGCGACGCGACGGGGGGAGAGGGCGGGAGCGACGGGACAGGGGGAGGGCGACGCGACGGGGGGAAAGGGGCGGGTGCGACGGGACAGGGGGAGGGCGAAGCGACGGGGGGAAGGGGCGGGCGCGACGGGACAGGGGGAAGGCGACGCGACGGGGGGAAGGAGCGGACGCGACGCGACGGGGGGAGCGCGACGCGACAGGGGGAAAGGGACGGGCGCGTCTCGAGGGGGGGGAAGGCGACGCGACGGGGGGCAGTAACACTGGAACGATACGAACGAGAGCGTGGGTCGTTGCTAGGCTCGGTAACAGCTGGAACGATACGAACGAGAGCGTGGCTCGGCGCTAGGCTCGGTAACAACGAGAAGGAGACGAACGAGAGCTAGGATCAGGCTCGGGTGGTACGAACGGAGAACGGCGGAACGGGATCCCACAGGATCCTAACCTAACTGATACCATGTCAGAATGAAGAATGGATGATGCATTGATGTTGGTTGGGGTACATATAGCTAACCCTAAGTTTTGTACCCCCTAAGACAAACCTCACTATAGGCTACAACATTTGACAAAAACGAGTACCAACAGAACAGGTACCACGACAAACAAAATAGCACACATACCAACACAGCAGCGGAAACACAATGCCCTGATTCATCCAACAAGCGGGGCAATCGCTAAGCTAGAAGGATAATTATTGCTAAATATCATGTGCCGCTTCAACTCCGTTTCCCAACATCCTAAAGCTCTGCATCAATATCTGGAGAGGGCTCGCTGGATGGTGCATTGCAGCAGGAAAAGTCCACCTTGGCAGTTCCACTGCACACAGCAAGCACCACGCACCAAGAAACAAGCATCAGGTATCAAGCAGTCAAGCACCAAGCGTCAAATAATAGCAAGAATGAGCGCAGGTGGTGATGGGAGGACCAGGCACGTGAAAGGAAATGAGTCCACCGCGCATAGCAAATGAAAGGGGATGATCACGGGCATGTGCAAGGCGTGCAAAGGACAGGAGAGAGGCATTTGTGCAGGGCATGTGGGAGGCATGTGAACAGAGTGTGCGGGGCGCTGACAAGTTGTTGTCGTGGAAGTTGAGCCTTGTGCTGCCGGTGGAGGAGAAGGCCCAGATGAGCTTCGACACTGCCGCCGGGGCAAACTTGGCCACCCCCCCGTGCCCTTGATGCGCGAGAACCTGCCGCGGAGGGACAGGAGGGCGGGTAGTGTGGAGTGATTGCTCGGTTGGGACAAGGACACAGATGAATTCCAAACAGGTACCATTAAAAGCAGCAGAAGAAGACGCAGAGCAGAAGCAGCAGCAGCAGCAGCAGCAGCAGCTGACCTGATTATAGTGGAGTTATCAGCCATTCTGGTGGTGGACGCGTTTTCAATCTTGAACGCCGTAGAGGGAACGAGCTTAGAGGAGCGGTATCCCTTGAGAGCGTATGTTGCGACCTTGCCCTGCCAATGACAGCATCGGCTGGCACCATGGCTGCCTTGGTAGGCCACCCCACGGATATCCACCCTGCCCTGGCCTTGCCTGCTGCCTTGGCCTCGATTGCCATGTCCACCTTGTTAGCAGATACGGGGTCCCAGTGCAGGATGAGGCTGGGCAATATGGAAAGAGAGGGGAGGATGGGAGGGAGAGAAAGAGGTTGGGTGTCAGTGCAGGATGAGGCTGGGCAATGGCAGCAGAGGGGGGTGGGAGTGGGGGAGGAAGAGGTTAGACGACTTGTCTCACTTTCTTACAACCGTTGGAGGAGGAGTGAGGGTGATGGGAGGGAGGGGATGAGGATAGAGCAGCAAGGTAGGTTGGATGTTGGTGGGGATGACAGAGAGGAGCAAGGTGGGAAGTAGGTAGCAGGACTGGCAATGGCAATGGCAGAAGTGTAACAGCAGGGACTCACTTGGGCGGCAGCAGGGACTCACTTGGGCGGCAGCAGGGCGAGCTGGTAGGAGTATCCAGGCAGGGTGGATGCGGGGCAGGCTTTACCCGAGGCGTATGCAGATGGGGGAGGGGGTGATGGGAGGAGGAGGGGGGGGGGGGGGAGGCGGTGAGCGGAGGAGGGGAGGAGACAGGAGGGGGAGTGGAGGAGACAGGAGGGGGAGGGGAGGAGACAGGAGGGGGAGGGGAGGAGACAGGAGGGGGAGGGGAGGAGACAGGAGGGGGAGGGGAGGAGACAGGAGGGGGAGGGGAGGAGTCAGGAGGGGGGGGGAGGAGTCAGGAAGGGGAGGGAGGAGACAGGAGGAGGAGGGGATGATACAGGAGGGGAAGGG